TCAAACAACTGGAAACAGAAAATTGCCCAGCAGGTTTTGCTTGAAAGTTATTCTTTATAAATACTTCATCAGGAATTTTTTTCCAAAAGGAAGATTTTTCTGACTAGGTTAGGTGAAGTAATGACCAGATGATCAAATTAGCCATAATATAAAAACTGTTGATTCATTTGTGGGGTATTATAAAGCTTCTGAAGTGACCCCGAAACAGTTAGTGGTGCTTGTGGTGGATGTTTTTGCCCTCTAGTCTTCTTGACCCGCAACCTTCTGCACATGCAGTTTAAAAAGGCAAGTCTAATGTATAGATGCTTGCCTTTCTATATGCCTGTGCACTGAGAGGCGTGTCAGCAAGAGGAGGAGTAAGACAGACAGCCATCTGTACAGACTGCAGTGTGTGTTGCTCGTTCAGCCTACGTAGTTTCTGTAAGCAGATCCGAAAGGGCAATGACAGTGGAGGGATGGAAGAGAAAAAGCAAAAGGAACAAGGAGAAAAGGAAGCTGAAGAGAAAGGCTATCGCTGCTGTGAAGGCAGATCCCTTAAGCACAGAAATATTTACACAAGCATTGTATCTAGACAGCAGCTAACTGCACATGGAAGAATCCAGGCACCTGCATGACACCGAGGATTAGCCAAGGACTTCAGCTGTTGAAGCCACCAGACGTGCACTTCTGGGGTGTGCTGATTCTCTAGAGCAGGCAAAATATCCAACTGCTGTTTCAGTAAAGCGTTGTGTAAATTCTCAGTGCCACAAACCCCCAGACTAATAATCACAGCTGCATAAGCAGCAGAAGTAACAGAGTCAGGCTGCCAAGAGACCAGTTTCCTAGACCCCTGTTCCTTCCCACTGAAATGATGCACACACCATCCCATCTCACCCCCAGCAATGCTGCCAGACCCTCACATAAACTCCGCCACCAGCAGGCACCAAATGCTTCCAGGTCTTTTACAGCCATCTTCGACATTTCTCCTTCCTCCTCCCCCCCGCATCCTCCACCCCTTCTCGGGTCCCTAAACCGGCAGGAGGGAAAGGGAAAGCCTGTATTTATCAGGCAGCCAGCCAAGCAGAACAGATAAATCGCAAGCTCACACCACAGCCCCTCAGACTAAATTTGGCTGAAACCCACTGCGAAACTTAAGAACACTGGGAGGGAAAAGGAGAGAAATGACAGAAAATGTAATGCTACAAACCTCACCTCTGCAAGAAGCAAGGTGAAGAAGCACCAGCCAGATCATCTGACTAGTGGAAGTACGCCTGGGCGACTGGAGGACTCTGTAAGGAGCTCTTGCATCAAACTTCTTAGTCACCATCACAGGTTGGGTTTCTTTTCCCATCATTCTCCCAGTAAGTTTCAGTTCCAGCTTTGCCACTCAGTCACAGCATCACTGTGCCATTTGCTTCAGAGCCTGGATTCTCCCTTTTAAAACGCGTAGGTTACTACACCCCAAAAAAGTAATGACATTTCAGAGGATGCATTAATGAAAGGTTTAGCAGCTGAATTACGTCAAAACCTAAACCCTTGTGACTCTTAAGATTTTAATGCTTTGCAAGTACCACAGAAGGAGCCCTAGAGTCCATGCTTGGCTAGTTAAAAGAAAGCTGAGGAAGAATAGGTTGTTTCAGGGCAGATACAGTCAGCAAACTTTCTTTAAACCGGTAAGGTTTCTAAGATCAGGTACAAACAAGTATTTTCTCCTGTGTCTAAGTTTGCTTCACAGTGGCTAATCAACATCAGTCCCAAAGAGTAGGTTTACCCAACACCTTAGCCTGGACTGTAGTGATAAACTCCTCATGAGATTATTTCGAAAAGCCGGACCTGATAGTGCTCCTGTAAGAGCTACAGACTCTGCTAAAAACAACTGCCTTTGATTTTCACACTTTGCACTAGTAGCTTTTTTAATTATAAACCTGAATGGTAGCAAGGGCCTGACCTCCTGACTTAGCTCTAACAGTTGAAAATATTTACCTTACATGGGCAAAAAACCTACAGGGCAGAAGAAAAAAAAAAAAAAAAGAGGAAGACACATACATAATATAGCTGTGACATAACCACAAGGGTGACAGCAGAAGTGGGTATTTAAACCCACCGTTTCCATGTTAGATTCTTTAGAAATATCCCAGATTCTATCTCAGGAAAACTCTGAAGAAAGAAACTGGGACAGAAGATCAGATTGATTGTTTTCATTTTTCTTAAAGGCTAATAGCCAAAAACATCTCAGGAGAAGGAAAATCATTTTAACTGTTAGTGACTTTTAACTCAGCAGAAAACAAAAGTCTCAGCTTCTCTTAAAAATTAAAGTGAGCACACATCTCAAACCACATAACCATACATGGTTTCATACTGTGGGATTTAGCAGTCTGCTGCATATCTTTTTAAGAAAAAAAGCTTCTAAAAGTGAGCAGATGCAGCAGTCTGGAAGTATCTTGGAATATTCAAGACATACAAATTGTCTCTTTTTGTCTCAGAAGGGATCTGGATTTGCTTTTCCTGTTGAAAGTCACCTACACTAAAAAAAAGCAGAATCCTGAGAAAAGTAGTGCAAAATACAACAATTCCACTGAGGAATAAGCATCAGTTTCTGATAATGATGCGCCTCTTCTTCCCTGCCTCTCTTTAGCTGAGAAATTTCTGTTCTAGCTGTTCCAAAATTGTGTCCTTACAGGAGGAGACGCATTCTCCTGCCAGGCTTGCTAACCAACACCAGAAGTAGAAACAGGAGTAGAAAACAGAGTATGACTGCATATCTGTGTTCCATTCTGTACCCGTAAAACAAAACCAAAACTCGACAGAAAATTATATTGCTGGAAATTCCTTGCACTTGAACTGAAGTTTTGTGTCCAAAGCATGAGGGCTGTGTTTGACATTTTAAAGGTATTGCTCGTACTGGCTGACTGTAAGCAAGTCTACCTCAAGTACAGTTATTCAGTTGCTATTTATTATATTTAATGGTTTTGTTGCAGTTCACAATGCTTTCACCCTACAGTCAGGAAGCCACAATATTGCAGCTAAACTTACATAGCTGGTCATCTTCATTTCCTTCTTGAATTTGGAAAGTAGCCAAAGCAGTAGAAATCAGTCAGAAACCCTCATCCCCACAGGTACCAGAGGAAGTCTTGGTGCACTAACTGCTACAGGCCATAAATTACCCGAGACTCCTTGACGAGTAGAAGTTCAGCCACGTGAAAGTGATTCTGAGGTAAGAACCATCAACAAGTTCAGGAGCTCAACGTTTCTTCATACGAACAAGCCTCTTGAGTCATCATCATCTCCTGTGCGTGGCAGATGCGTGCTCTCAAATGCAGATGTACCAAGGAGCTTCTGACACCTGTCAGGTGGTACAGAACACATTCACAGAAAAAACAGACATTTAGCAAAAAAAAAAAAAAAAAGAAAAAAAAATCACTTGAGAGAGATATTGTACAAAGAAGAGAAAAAGCTCTTTTAGTGTTTCACAGCACAAAATCCAAGAGTGAGAACAACCACCCAAGCTACACGTCCATCAATACTTTGGTTTGGCACCATCACCTAGCGTTGGTGGACATACTCCATTCATGGGGCAAAAGCCAGGCCTGGTAAGAAACACTGCATTCAGCTCAATACTACCTACTCGCATTAAGCTTTTGCCAGTTAGCAGCTGGTAAGCTGTTACTCAGTTCGTAACACATTATATGTTAAATATTGGATATATTAGGACATAGGAATAAAATGTTTCCGAACACATAAAAGGAAATGTCTCCATTGCAATTGTAAACACAGTGACATTTTACTTCGTGCCAGGCATCACATAAATTTTCCTTAGGCAACAGATAGCTTGCTACACTACCTCTATGAGAGGAAAATCTTCCACTCGGTATCTTCCCAAAACTTTGCTGTCTTCATAGACATGGGATGACAATAGCCAGAGGCACACCTAAAATCCTTGGATTTTAACAGGCACTGAACTGCTAGGAAACATTTTAATTGCAAAGGTCACAGGAGACAGAATTCTGAGCGTATCTCCAGCTAAATGTCCCTTTTTCAGCGATACTCTCGTCAGAGGTTACATGAAAGGCAGACAGACACTTTCTGGCGATACACCCATATACCTGGCAGCAGGCCCGCCTGCCTTGCAAAGGTAAAGCTTGTACCCTCCAGAGCTGTACAGCAGAAATGTGGTCTTGCAGTCCATAGCTGTGGGAGGTAGGAGACCAGTCTCTATCTCCACCCCTCTTTTTGTAGCCTGATCAGAGCTAGAAACCAGAAGCTGATAAAAAGTGAGGTGCTTGTGAAATTTCACCAAACAAAAATGAGACATTATGAAATTTGTTCTTATTTTGGTTGGCTGCTTTTTTAGTTTGAAATTGAAAAATGTACATAAACCCAAAGATGCTCAGCATCTTCAATTCAATTTGAACAGCAAATTGAATTCTGTCTCTGACATTCCAGATTAGCCTCCTAAATCTTGATGCACTGTGGTGCGAATGGATGGATGGGTGCTCTTTGCTCTCTTTTCTTTGCAGTAACAATCTTGATCAGGGAGACTTTCTCGGCGTCAAATCCGGTACATCTGCTGGAAAAGATTTAGCTCTGATGAACTAGTATTTTCCAACAACAAACAAAATTTTGTCACTAAACTTACAAGCAGTTCTAGCAACACAATAAAAAACAACTTGAAATCAGACCTCAGCCTTTCTACCCACATCCTTACTGTCTCCGTGTTTTCCGTTAGTGGATTATGCATCTTTTGTATTTTGTTATTGAGATGAGGGAAGAATTCATTCTACTCCATATTGTCCCCTGTTATTACCACTCCAAAGTCTTCAACATGTTTAAACATAAATCCCTGGAGCTTCTAGCTCCTAGTACTACTCCCAGTTAAGCAAAAGAAGAGTAAAAACCAGTCTCAGGACTTCGTGATAATTATTCCCTATAACCCCTGCCCATTCTTAGTCTGTCTCACAGAAGTAACCAAGCGATTTACTGTCCCTCTGGAAGTACAAGGAAAAAAAGGAAATGCAACAAATATTTTTACAATTTTATTAACTTTAACAAAAACTGCAAATTAAAGGGTGGTCAGTTGTTTGGAGAGGATTCAGACACACATTTAAATGCCAACCTAGAATATTTTACAACTTATGTACAACTGTGTCAGCTGTCAACTGCTGAACACTAATCAATGTAATCCAAATCTTCTGGGATTCCAAAACTTTTGTCAATTCTGCTCTCTTCAAATCCAAATTTACGTTTGGCCCAGGACTTTATTGAAAAGATGTTATCTGTAAACAGAATGAAAAACATGGAAAACAAGGAAAGCATGAATTATAGTCTTGGCTACAACAAAATCCTTCCATTTGCACTCTCTCTGTGTATAAGAAAAAGGTACATAGTGGGGAACATCATTATTAAGTAGATTTAGAACAGAAAACAAGAGGCTTTTGCTAATGATATGCTTTTACTCGGTACTAAGTAAAATATATCTTCTTTTTTGGACGTTACCTTTATCTTTTCTTGCTCTTCTTCTAAGAGAAGACTGAAAGCTACAATTACAGTGTAAGCCTGCTATAGAGTGATGAAGAAAGTATGAATATGCATAATAAGTATTTTATAGGTCCTTTTTCAACTAGACACCTACTGTGTGACTGTCTACAACTGCAAAAATCAGATTCAAATTAACTATAAGGTCCTTTCTAGTCCTGCGTATGTTTGTTCAGATAATGTACATTTTGTTTGAAAGTTAAAAAGACTCTCAAGTAGCTTTATTTCAGTCAGCATTTCTCTTTTAGCATCACATTACTATTATTTTAGCATATACATTCTCTTCAATGTAATATCATTTTTCACTGCAGTATTGGTTGAAACTCACTACTTCATTGCTAACATACAAAAATTGCAGCATTCCTTAAGACAATAAGTGTTCTCTGTGTCTGCACACCTGAGAAATATTTTCTTTTCTTTAACCATCAAACATTTTGTTTTAAAACCGTCTCTTCAAAAGAAAAATATGCTACAGCATATAACCTAATTGTCTAATTAAACAGCAAAGTACTTCCTACAGGCTGCGGCATAGTTCCTTTAACTCTCTCAAGACTTTGAGAACAGCCGCCTGTCATCAACAGTAGAAAGCCCTGACAACAGTACTCCCAGAAGTTGTTTTCAAATGCATGGCTTTATTTCCCCATATGCAGTGAACAACCCAGTGCAAATTAAGATGTAAAGTAATAATAGCCAAAAGACTATGACAATATCCTGCTCCACTTGGCATAACCAATGATAGCGAGCAGTCCATCAGTAGTAGGTGAATTCTAAACAAAAAAAATACAAACAGTATTCTAAATAATTTTTTAAAAGTAAGGACATACATATTGCTTGCTCTGCAAAATGGAAATATATAGCAATATAGCAAAGCTAAGCAACAACAGAAAATTGAGTTAAAATTCCATACAAGTGTTATCACAGTAACCTTCCTCGAAACTGTGCAGCATTTTTCCTGCATGTCAAAGCTGATGAATTAGTTTTAGAAATACCTACTTTATATTAGCATCCATTATATGGTAGCAGCAATAAGGTTCCACAAAGCATTCTACTCTTCAGAAACAAATGAAAATTCAGAAAAGAAGAATTAAACTTTCTGAATACCTGGACACCACCACTTCCAGTCTCTTTCTGTTAATGTTTTCCTCCTCTTAAGAGATTTTAACTCAACCAAGAAAATGAGCTGCAGGTTTTAACATGGTGTGCAAGATAGCACCAGAAGAACAAATATGCAAAGTGATGTAAAGTACATTCAGTAACTAAACTGAGAAAATGTATCCTATTTTGAATCATGATAATTTATAAGCAAAATATATTTCTGCAAGTGAGGGATATCCTACATCAAGTCCTAATGAAATTTAAATTTCTTAACAATGGGTAGGTCTTTTACCGAAATTACTCTAGTCTAAAGCTGTGTTAAGCAATATAAATGCATACACACCAGTCCATCTATTGGCTGCCTCCTTGGCTATTTTGTTTGTTTGGCCTGAAATAGAGAAGAAAACAAACAAACAAAAAAGCACACATCAGAGTAAAATCATACAATAGTTTCAAGGCACAGAGATTAAATTTTTATTGATGTCATTTTCAGAGAACCACACAATATAAGGAAGTTACTCTTTTAAAGTTCCAACAAGCACAAAGCTAAGTTAAAGAAAAACAGGAGCAAAGGAACATAAAAGATACCCTATGAACAACTGTGAGTTTTTGAAGTGTATTTTAAAATAAAATAAACGTAGTCTGGTTTGCCTGGGGGCTTAATTGTCTGTACCAAGATTGGAACTAGATACATGGCCTGAAGATACTAGAGGCAACGAAGATGGAAAATATTTTATAATCCTCTCTATACATAGGTAATCCATCACATAAGTATGCATGACTCTATATAGATAAGGAAAATGACAAGGGTAGCAGTCTATCACATTAATCCAAAAGTTTATCATACAGCTCTGGAAGGTCTCCCGGGCTTTGAGAACCCCCTCAATGAAATGAAGACAAAATAATGCTCCTGGTTATTAAACCTGGCTTCCCTCCCTTACCACCGCTCCAGATCTGAATACATAATAGTAAATTACCATTACTACAAATAGCTTTTATATAGTTTCCATGAGGCAAAACAGCATCAAGAAAAATTCCTCTTAGATCACCTTGCTCCCACTAAAATAAGTACTGAATCAAATCAAGCAGGTTGGTTTGTAACGTGGGAATTTATCAGAATCATTATGGTTCTCACGCCTACACATAACTTAGTTATTCCCAGTCAGTCTTGTTAGCACTTGCATGATAATACTCATTTGAATGGTCAGCATGAAGTTTGTCTCCAGGGGTACTGAGAAGTGAATATATGATCAGGTATCCATTGTTATAAAGATTATACTTCGGGCAAAATTAAATTATGTTGAAAAATAATCTGCCAGTACACAGGAAGCTAAGCACTCATTATTCTACCCTTAATACTTCAATAAGTGATCTGAAAAATATTTTAATCAGAGTAAAACACTGTTTCAAAAACAGCACAGTTTCTAGAAGCGGCCTACAATTAGAAAGCTTGGGCACAGCATGCGGAAAAGCAAAAAAGAAAGATGGGCAAAAAAAAGGGAGTGGGTGAGAAGATGGCATTTTTGTTTGCATGCACCAGAAATTCAAGTTATTTCTAGCTTGAGAGAGATATTCCTTATTTCCTTTGCTGACTGCTTGTTGCCGCCTCCACTTGTTCAGTTCCATGACTGGCAGCACTGACAACATACTGGCAGCCAATGGCATTTTGAACAATACTTTACCTAATGCTCCATAAATCAAGTCTGCAGAATAAGGGCTTTAACTGGTCAAGATTTAAATGTGTTAGCTATGATACTTCACTCAGCATTTTTCTGAAACTCTGGAGGAAAACTGGAAAGCTGTATTTGACTCCCAGTAATGAAGTTTGAAATGAAGGGAAAAGAGGATAGAATTAAACTCCATGGATCCAGAGCTGCAAGATGACAGCATCCTGATGGCAGGTGAGCCAACCTAGTGCGCAGCACCTGCTGGGTCTCAGCAGAAACCTCGGCTTTGCTGAGTCCCGTGCTTCTGCATCACACAGCAGCTCTAAGTTCCTGCAGCTTTCAGCATGCAGCCCTGTGCTTAACGCATAGTGACCGTATGGTACAGCGCATTAAAAAAAAATAGTGGCAGCATGGTGCATTGTCACCCTTCAAACATTGCTTATGCATGTTAAAATACACACATGCAATCATGTGTTTTTAAAATGTGACTTCTTACCTCTGTCAAAGAAAAGATATGGGTTGGGCAACAGGGTGGTTAGAATGGCAGTGGCTGCCTATAACCAAGCTGTGGCTAGAAATGAAATCATGGTAGTAAGAGCAGGAAGCTGTAAAACGGGGAAATCCCACAATGGGCAGCACTTTCAATGACTGAAATAGCAGAGAAATAACAAAAAAAAAAAAACCACCAAAAAAAGAAACTCCTGAAAGTAAAAGTTATACAAGTAAAATGAAGAAATATTTTAACCATGTCATTCTTTCCATGCACCACCTGGGACTGATCGCAGACTGGCAGCAAAGTGTCATGGTAGAAGCGTGGAAGGATCACAAGTGGAGGCAGGACTTCGGGATGGGGAAAGTGACATTCAAACAACCTGGCTGAATATCAAAGAAGAGGCTGCCTCAGTCCTTCAGAGGCTGGGAACATATATCCCCCACGTTACTCTGTGCCAAGGGGCTCAGGGTTGGGGAAACAAGAGCCACTTGTAAAGCCTCGAGCATCTCCAGGAAATGCATTCACAAGAGGTCGGGGCAAGTGTTTGCTGCTTGCGATTTCCCATTTACACTGGCTGGCCCACAGGCCCATGTACACGACAGCACCATAGGGATGCAGGTATGGATTTATTCCGCCATGTTGAAAGTTCCTTAGACCATCAGGCATATTGTATCACCAGCAATGCCAGCTAGCCTGGCAAGTTGCAAGGCACCCGCATGTTCCTCATCTCCAGCCTGAGCAAGCTCATGCAAACAAGGCAGCTTGCACTGTCTTTTGTCATCAGGTGAGACTGTCACTGCCACTGCTGCAGGATGGCACTGCAGTCTGCTTAACCACTAATTCCTTCATTTAAATTTTTCTCCTCACATTTCTTTTTTTAATTTGGGGTGAGGGAAACACATCTCATCCATTCACCAGAAACTACTATGTCATCACCTCAGCTGTTGCCTCAAGGCTATGGGCTTGAGCATTTAGCTATCTGAAGGCAAGATTAAAGTCCCTCGGGATCAGGCTCAACTCTTGCTACAATTCCACTGCAGGATCTCATCTGCCTGCTGTATCCAACACCATGCCTGAAAGAGGAAGGAGAAACAGGTATTGGCAGCTATGGACCTGCATCACCTGAAGACACCAGCGACATCTGCATCATCGCCAGCATCTTCCAGAGGCCCCTGACTCTATCACAAGAACTGAGAGAAATGAAGGAATCTGCACCTTGACTACTTTCTGGAAACCTTTTATAGTTGCTTGTTCGAACTTTCATTGGTTGCATCATCTGTATGTGAACATGCATAGAGGGTGAGGGAAAGAAGGAGCAGTAGAACAGACATCCCCCAGACACACCTACTTTAGGTACTGATGTAACTCAAAGTCATGCTACTTCTGATTGCCTATTCTGTAGCTCCACAGGATCATACAGCCATTGGCTTCCTGATTTTTTAGACTGCACTGAAAAAGAAAGTTTAAGACCTAAAGACGACAATAGCATGGGATCTTAAAAATGTGTACACCAAAGAAGAATCAGGACACAAACCGTGTGAACTGTAAAAAGGAGAAACTCGGAGACAGCGCTGAGGGCAACTGGCTAGTTGCCAAAACCACCACAACCACTGGGTCCCAAGCTTGGCTGGAGTCCTGCTGATCCTCCTCCTGACCACAGCTGCTCTATCAGAACTTGATTTTTGGCAGCTACTAAATAGTGCTCCAGTACCGAAGCTGTGCAAGACAATGAAAGGGCCAAATGTGCAGAAGAGGTGAGCAATACAGGAGGCAACATATGTTCCAGATGCTTCCAGATGTTCTCATTACCACTATTAGGCCCTGGTTACGCTCTATTTTATATCTACACATCTGCACATAGGCTGACAATATATACAATTGCTGTCTGGAAGCAACAGAATAATCCATTTGTTCTGGACATACATATTTATTTCACCAATTTGTATGAAAATGCATCAATAGACTTTCTTGCTCCCATGCCTGCAGGATACAAGTCATTCACTTGGTTGAGACACACCTGTATCCTCTGCTGACCAGTTTCAGGCACACTTGGCATTTTCTAAGCAGGAAAACGGAAGCTTGCATTTTCTCTCCTGAACTGAACAAAAGCAACCACTGTGTGTACAGCATTGCAGGGCCCAGGAGCAGCATGGCTTGCAACACTAGTCTGTTATGTTAGCAAAACACACCTGGAAATATGCCCTAAACAGTGAAAGGCTAAGGATCAAAGAGTTAGTTTTAACCAGTCCTCATGGAACTCTCTTCTTCCCTCAATCCCAGGTATCTCTGGAGAACTGCAGGGAACTCAAAAAGCCTAGATTCTGGGAACTGAACCATTGTCCTAAGCATCTGTGATTGTCCTCATCACAGGGACAATCCCCTGTATCACCTTAGTGGAAAGGAAGGCCCAGCAGCAGTGAATGTCTAAAAAGAAAGCGAGGGAGCATTGGGAATATGCTTTTTAATGCAGGCAAGTGACATTCTACCAGCAACCCACAGGGATTCAGGAGCAGACTAGAAGGCAGAGCTGACGAAAGGCATGTGGACAGCTGTAGGAGGTGCAGTAAGAAGCCTTCTAAAGCAAACGGACAGCACCTGGTCAGGAGTGAAGGCCAGCAGCACAGAAACGTTAACACAGCAATGTTTCTGAACAAATCTGAACTGGCAATATATATATCTTAGCACGGCCAGGCCACGTTGTTTCTGACCTGACTCAGGAAGCCCTACGGTCATTCTCAGAGTACTGCAGAACTACAGCCTCCTCTTTCCTCTTTTCTTTCCTCCTTCCCCCACATTCGCCTACTTTTTTCCTGGAAGGGGTGGTGGTGGAAATGAATGGCCAAAAACTGTTGAAGCCTCAAATATTTCCACAGGAGGGGAAGACCACTACATGCCTCATCAACGCAATATATATGCTCCAGGAGACTAAGTTAGTCTTTCTATCAGACTTCGGACACTTCCATGGGTGAAAAACAATTGCGATAGCAACAACCACCACCATCTCCTCACAAACATTTTCCAAACCTACTTTTAGGTTCTTCAAAAAAGCTTTTTTAAGTCCTGCACATATCATTAAAGGAATACTAAGGAAGAAGTCACTGAATAGTATTCAAAATTGGATTGAAAAGGTAACATATTCCAGCTCCAACAGCTATACTAAAAATATCTCAACAGCCAGAACCAGCTCACAACCACCTGTAGACTTGGAAATGAGGAAAGAGCTGTAGC